ACCTTGGAGGTCCTTTAGTTCAACCCCCTGCTTAAGCAGGAGACTCTATATCATTCCAGACAAATGGCTGTCCAGTCTCTTCTTAAAAAACCTCCAGTGTTGGAGCACCCACAACTTCTGGTGGCAAGTTGTTCCACTAGTTAATTGTCCTCACTGTTAGGAAATGTCTCTTTAATTCCAGGTTGTTTCTCTCCTTCATTAGTTTCCATCCACTCTTTCTTGTCCTGCCTTCAGGTGCTTTGGAAAATGAAATCTGGAATGGTGACAACCTTTCTCTCTTCTTTCCGTGCTCCGGAATAGAAGCAAAGACTTGTTTGAAGAAAGAATCAGAAGGGAAAAGTCACTCAGTCAATCAGAATAGAAGCAAAGATTTGTTTGAAGAAAGAATTAGAAGGAAAAAGTCAGTCAATCAATCAGAATAGAGTCCATGCCCTTGCTCTGAAGAAGAACCTCTGTCATTTCATCCAAGTGATTGTCCAGTCTCTTCTTAAAAACTTCCAGAGTTGGAGCATTCACAATTTCTGGTGGCAAGCAGTTCCACTGATTGATAGTTCTAAATATCAGGAAATTTCTCCTTAGTTCCAGGTTGCTTCTCTCCTGGATTAGTTTCCATCTGTTTCTTCTTGTCCTGCCTTCAGGGGCTTTGGCGAATAGCTTGACCGCCTCTTCTTTGTGGCAGCCCCTCAAATATTGGAAGACTGCTATCATGTCACCCCTAGTCCTTCTCTTCATTAATTTAGACATACCCAATTCCTGCAACCACCCTTTGTATGTTTTAGTCTTCGATCCCTTAACTAGTAACATCATCAATGCAAGTTGCAGATATTTCATGACCCAACGAGGTAACATCCAGGGGTTGGGATTCAGCCTGTTCGGGCTGGTTCCGGAGAACTGGATGTTAACTTTACATTTGGTTCTCCAAACCGGTAGTTGAACAGCAGCTGGCCCTGCCCACCCTCCCGTCCCAGGGGTCTCCACGCAGCCCATTTTGGATGCAGGTAAGTGCAGGGTCCATGCCGAGGCTCTGGGAGGGGGAAAAATGGGCCTTATGGAAGTATCGGAAGTCCAGAAATGGGCCTGTTTCCAGCTTCCAGAGGGGCTCTGGAGCCTGGGGGAGTCCATTTTTGCCTTCCCAGAGGCCTGAGGGAAGCCTCTGGACTCTGGGGAAGGCGAAAAACTGCCCTCCCGGAAGTTCCAGAAGTCCAGAAACGGGCCTGTTTCCGGCTTCCAGAGGGCCTCCGGAGCCTGGGGGAAACAGTTTTTCCTCTTCCAGAGGCCTGAGGGAAGCCTCCGGACTCTGGGGAAGGCCAAAAACAGCCATTCTGGAAGTTCCAGAAGTCCAGAAACAGCCTGTTTCCAGTTTCCAGAGGGCCTCCAGAGCCTGGGGGAGTCCATTTTTGCCCTTCCAGAGGCCTGAGGGAAGCCTCCGGACTCTGGGGAAGGTGAAAAACGGCCCTCCCGTAACTTCCAGTAGGCCACGCCCACCATGGCCAGGCCCACCCAGCAACAGGGCAGAGAACCGGCTGTTGGGATGTTTGAATCCCACCCCTGGTAACATCATCAGGACTAGTAAGCCATTACTAACCCTGATGATGTTCCCTAGTTTGGGTCACGAAACGTCTGCAAGAAAACAACCAAGCTCAGGGGCCACCAAGGAGTATCTCAGATATTCAGAGGCTGGGATGTGTCTCTGCTGGCAAAGATCCTGTGTCCCTCTAGGTAGGGAAAGTTGGACTCAGAAAAAGAATACATCTGCACCTTCTTGTGTGTATTGGTAGTCCTTGATTTCCGACCACAGTTGGGGCCAGAATTTTCATTGCTAAGCAGAGCGGTTGCTAAGTGAAGAGGAAGAGCATTGGCGCTTTTGAGCTTTGGTGTTGGAGGAGATGTCTGGGAAGACCCTGGGCAACCAAGAAAAGAAACCAATGGGTCATGAAATAAATCAACCCCCTTCCCCTCGTTTCCTCTCCTCTTCTCTTCCTTCCCTGCCCTTCCTTGTCCTATCCTTTCCCTTCCCTCCCTATTTCCTTTCCTTTCCTCTCTCCCCCTTTCTTTTCCTTCCCTTCCCTTCCTCTTTCCTTTCCTCCCTCCCTCTTTCCTTTCCTTCCCTTCCCTTCCTCTTTCCTTTCCTCTCTCCCTCTTTCCTTTCCTTCCTTCCCTCCTTCCTTCCCTTTCCTTCTTTTCCCTCCCTCTTCCCTTCCCTTCCCTTTCCCTGCCTCTTTCCTTCCCTTTCTTTTCCCTTCCTCGCTCTTTCCTTTCCTTTCCTCTCCTCTCCTTTCTTTCTCCTTTCCTTCCACCCATCTGAATTACCCTGCTGGCTTTGTAATTCTGGGATTCGAAGCCCTTTCTTAAAGCAGTTGAGGTAGCAAAAACCATCTTATTTTATTTGGCATCCCTACCTGTTCTTATTAAACAGTCTTGTTTATTTGGGATAATCTTCTTAATTCGTTTGTTTTTAAAACAGGATTAATTGTGTTCTTAGACATAATTGTTGCTAACCTGGGTGGTACGTATACATTAGACAGGATGAGATATAAATGTTTATAAAGCAAAGTTAAAACCATCCAGTCATGCCTCGCTCTTATTAACTACACATTCTTTCTGCCTTGCTGGTGAGGTGGTGCGAATTGAGGTCAGGTTGCTGTGAAAATACACAAATGGCATGAAATTTCATTTAATTTCTCTGGAACTGAATTTAATTTAATTTCTCTGAGACTGAACAACCATTTGTCTGAATTAGGATCTCCTGCCTGGGCAGGATGTTAGACTACAAGACCTCCAAGGACCCTTCCAACTCTATTATTCTATGTTCTGGATTAGCCAAATTCCTGTTTCCAGCTGGGGATGCAATTTGTGTTAAATGAGTAATTTTCGTAGTGGATCTATATACATCCACGCCTAAGAACCCTGGAAGGGGAAACTGAGGATGTTTTTTTGGGAAAAGGAGGTGATTGAAATGACTTGGGAGGTAATTGAATTTTTATAGGAAGTACAACCTGAAATTTGCATATATATTTTTGTAAAAATACTTTATTAAATAAATTGATATAAATACAGTAAAATCAAAACATTCCATTTGTCGCAACGTAAGCAAATGCAATGTTCGCTCTAATTGACAGCTCTCTCATTGTATCAAATGGTTGTTCACTTATTTAGATATAATGCAGAATTTCATTCTAATTATTTATCACAAATAAATTTACATATAATATTACCAATTTCTATCGTATCCTTTTATTTGACTTTTTATTCCTTTCTTGTCTATCTTCCAGCCAACTATACCATAAGTTCCAAATCTCATAGTATTCAGACTCCTCTTGTTTTCTGAGTTCCATTGATAGCCTGTCCATTTCTACACATTCCAGGGTTTTCTTTATGATCATGAATTCGGGGGTTTTCGCATTTCCAATTTTGAGCAAAAGCAAGCCTTGCTGCTGTTAATATATGAAGTATTATGTATAATAATTTTTACTAATTTTCTGTTTTAGGATTCGTAATAAAAATATCTCTGGTTTCAACTCAGTTTTAACTTTTGTGATTTCTTCCAAGCGATTTTTAATTTTCCTCCAATATTTTTTTGCTTTTGGGCAAGTCCACCACATATGATAGTAGCTTCCCTGCTCGTAGCTTTGCAAATTTTAATTCACCCATAAAGGAGAATATTTGTGGCTCAAGGTTGAAATTAGGGGCTATGAAATTTTTGTTTCATAGTTAATAAAATAAATAGGTAAATAAATAAAGGTGATTCTTGTCCCTTTGAATTGCATGTGTCTTCTGGCTTTTATTCATTCCTCTGCTTTAGTGCTCCGAAAAGGTTAATGCAATTTTAATGCAATTAAATTCATTCAATTTTAATACAAAGTACTCCGAGCCATTTAAGGAAGGGCAGAAGATGGACATAAAATGAAATAAGTGATGACTGGCACAAAAAAACCCCACCAGCGTTTCCATAACCTGTTGAGTTTTATTTATTTTGATTTATATCACATTATCGGGGTGTCTGGCTACAGAGAGAGATCAAAAGAATCAAGATGGCGTCCGGGTTGGTGCAACCAAAGCTTTGATGACATCACTGTGGAGGCCATCTTGAACTTTTCGACCATGCACTGCAGACACCTCTGGATCTTGTAATTACATGAGGGAAATTAAGCATGATGTTTTAAATAGAGCCAGTTTGGTGCAATGGTTAAAGTGTCGGCCTAGAAACAAGGAGAGGTGAGTTCTAGTCCTGCTTTAGGCAGGGAAGCCGGCTGGGTGACTTTGGGCCAATCAGCAGGAGACAGTTAGTTCTAGTCCCACCTTAGCCATGAAAGCCAGCTGGGTGACTTTGGGCCAATCACCAGGAAATGGTGAATTATAGTCCCACCTTAGGCACAAAGCCAACTGGGTGACTTTGGGCCAATCATCAGGAGACTGGGAGTTCTAGTCCAGCTGGGTGACTTAGAGCCAATCTAATGGTGAATTATAGTCCCACCTTAGGCACAAAGCCAACTGGGTGATTCTGAGCCAATCAGCAGGAGACAGTGAGTTCTAGTCCCGCTTTAGGCAGGAAACATGCCTGGGTGGCTTTGGGCCGATCACCAGGAGACTGGGAGTTCTAGTCCAGCTGGGTGACTTAGAGCCAATCAGAAGGAGACAGTGAGTTCTAGTCCTACCTAGTCCTCCTGCCTTAGGCATGAAAGCCAGCTGGATGACTTTGGGCCCATCGCCAGGAGACTGGGAGTTCTAGTCCCACCTTAGGCATGAAAACCAGGTGAGTGATTTATTTGGGACCTGTCAATCTCGCCCAGCCCAGCCCACTTCAGAGGGTTGTTATTCTGGGGAAAATAGATGGACTTCTATTAGGGACGTTCGCCCCCTTGAATGACCTGTAAAGGAATAAAGGTCAGATTAAAGAAAGATCTAATCAATTCAATGCAACCCAATCCGATTCAATTGAATTTATGAGTGGAAGACCTGCAGACAATGGTAACTAACTGAGTTTGTTTTCACAGAGAACCATGATCAAAGACATCAAGGAGATGGTCCCTCTTATGGGGACCAAGAAGCCAAATCCTCAGGAGACTCCGCCAGCGGCCGGCCACAACAAGAGGGCAGCAGAAGATACCCCCACCAAGAAGAGGTAAGTGGCCCATTTCTTGGCATAGGTTAGCAGATGTCAATACCTCAGAGCAGGGATCCCCAAACCTGCCAACTTTAAGACTTGTGGACTTCAACTCCCAGAATTCTCCAACCAGCTATGAAGTACGCAAGAATTAAAGTTGCCAAATTTGGAGACCTCTGCCTCAGAGGGAGACTGAGGACTCCGCAAACCATCTTGATGAAAGGATACGGCTGGATTACCACCACTGACCCATTTATATAGCTTGCATAATGGCCTGAGTTTGGGATCATGGGAGCATCAAAATTATTTAATTGGCTCGGATAGCTTAGACGAAGGGTCTTCAAACTTGGCAAGTTTAAGACTTGTGGACTTCAACTCCCAGAATTCCTGAGCTAACATGACTGGAGGAGGAATTCTGGGAGTTGAAGTCCACAAGTCTTAAAGCTGTCAAGTTTGAAGACCCCTGGATAGAGTATCAAGACAAAAAAATTCAGGATTCTGCTAGACCTTTTTTAATAAATCAGTTTTATTCCAATTCCCAGAATCCTGAGTTTTCAATCTCTTCAGTTCCATATATTTTATTATTATTTTATTTTGTCAAGTGATTATAAGATAACACATTTAAGTATAAGCATGGTTATGAATATATGAAATGGATACATATAAGAAAAAAAACACAATAGGGCAGGGACGATAAGCACGTTGGTGCGCTTATGCACGCCCCCTACAGACCTCTTAGAAAAGGGGTGAGGTCAATAGTAGACAGTCTAAGGTTAAAGTTTTGGGGGTTTGGGGAAGAAACCACAGAGTCAGGTAGAGTATTCCAGACATTGACCACTCTGTTGCTGAAGTCGTATTTTCTGCAATCAAGTTTGGTACACCAAATACAAACTATTGTGTGCTCTTGTATTGTTATAGTTGAAGCTGAAGTATTCATTGACAGGGAGGACATTGCAATGTATCATTTTATATACTATACTTAGATCGGGCTGAAGGCAGCGTAATTCTGGGTTTTCTAGGTCTAGAATTTCAAGTCTGGTGGCATAAGGTATTCTGCTATGAATAGAGGAGTGGAGAACTCTTCTTGTGAAATATTTCTGGACTTTCTCAACTATATTAATATCAGATATGTAATGCGGGTTCCAGACTGATGAACTGTATTCAAGTATTGGTCTAGCAAATGTTTTGTATGCTCTAGTTAGTAGTGTGATATTACCAGAGAAAAAGCTATGTAAGATTAAGTTTACAACTCTTAATGCCTTTTTGGCTATGGAGTTACAGTGGGCTCTAGCACTTAGATCATTAGAGATGAGTACTCCAAGGTCCTTGACAGAATTTGGATCATCAACAAGATCTTGACTATTCAGCTTGTATTTTATTTTTTGATATTTTTTTTGCCAATATGTAAGACAGAGCATTTATTTGTTGAAATTTGAAGTTGCCATTTGTTTGACCATTCTGATACATAGTCAAGATCTTTTTGAAGGGTAGCAGTGTTATCTGTGATATTGAATAGCTTTACATCATCAGCGAAAAGAACGCAGTTGCTCTTAATATGATCACAGAGGTCATTTATGTAGAGTATGAAAAGGTTGGTCCTACAACACTGCCTTGGGGGACACCACTATTGACAGGTACGGAATTTGATAGGATGCTCCCAATTTTGACCATTTGTTGTCTGTTTGACAGGAATGCTTCTATCCAGTTATGCAGGTGTCCAGAGATACCATAAGATTTTAGTTTTAGGAGTAGTTTGTCGTGTATCACTGAATCAAAGGCCTTACAGAAGTCTATGTAGATTGCGTCTATTGTTTTACCCTGATCGAGTTGTGTAGTCCATATGTTTTTGCAGTTTAAGAGTTGCAGATTACAGGATAGTTTTTTTCTGAAACCAAATTGTTTATTAGAGAGTAGGTTGTTTGTCTCTAAGTGGAGGATAATGGATTGGTTAATAATTGATTCCATGACTTTACAGGTGACGCAGCATAAGGAGATTGGTCTGTAATTTTCAACTAGGCTGGGGTCTCCCTTTTTGAAGATGGGGATGACCGTGGCTTGTGACCATAGTTTTGGCAAGGAGCTGGTCCTGAAAGATTTTTCAAAGATTATGCTTAGAGGTTTGGCTATGGCAGTGGATAGCTTTTTTAAGAAGTAGGCACATATTCCGTCCAGTCCAATAGATAGAGATGGTTTTAGATTGCGTAGTGCTTTTTCAACAATGTCTTCTGTAAAATCGATATGTATTATATCATTGTAGTTGTCTGCGTTTCGACTAGGAAATATTGGGCATGATCCATTGCTGTTTACAAATACTGAGCCAAAGATTGTGTTAAAGAGGTTGGCTTTCATGGTGTCATCGTTGCAGTCTTTACCATTAGGTCCTTTCAGGGGTGGGGTGGACCTTGAGTATTTTTTTTATTTAGTTTGTTGTTTACAAAATTGTAAAAAGCGCGGGTGGAATTGGTGCGTAGAAGGTTTTCCTCTTGTTTAATGTGATAATTGGTGCATTCAGTTTTTATCTGGTGGCATAAATTTTTGTATCGACTTTTGAAGTTGGCAACATGACCATATTTGTTTTTCCGCCAAAGTGATTTATTATTAATTTATTGTTATGAGTAATTTGTTTTTTCTGGTTTTGGGAGTAAATAGTGACTTATGACTATTTTTCATACTTATGATCGTAGTAGCCTTCCCCGGGGTCACGTGATCAAAATTCAGCCACTTGGCCACTGACTCATATTTATGACGGTTGCAGCGTCCTGGGGTCACATGATCCCCTTTTGCGACCTTCTGACCAGCAAAATCCACGGGGAAGGGAGATTCACTTACTAATGGCTTGACTAACTGATCAACTGCAGTGATTTGCTTAATGACAGTGGCCAGAAAGATGGTAAAATGGGGCAAAACTCGCCTAACCAATGTCTCACTTCACAACAGACATTTTGGGCTCCATTGTGGTTGTAAGGACCACCTGTACAGTTATGTAGAATCGATTGGTACTTTCTTCCCAAAACCCTTATTTCTCTTTCTGATTTTTTTTTTTAAATCAGTTTTTAATGTCTTTTAATTAACCTCCCGCCCGATGAAGCCAGATGTATTTGCCAGGGAGATAGATTCCAGCATTGGCACAAGACTCCAGTCGCCAGGGGCAGCTTCCCAACCTGGGTGTGCCGTCCAACATTCCTTCACTAAGCAGCACCCATTTGCTTAAATTGCAAAAAACGCTGCAAAGGTTTAATTGCTGTGGCTGCTTCGAGGTCTCTTCTGGAATTCCGAGATGGGATGTGGTTTTAGTTTTATTTTTCAGAGTAGGGATCTCCGACCTTGGCTACTTTAAGGCTTGTGGATGCCAACTCCCAGAATTCCCCAGCCAGCATGCTTTAAGATCGGTGGACTTCCACTCCCAGAATTCCTCAACCAGCATGTTTTTAAGAGGGCTGGACTTCTACTCCCAGAATCCCCAAGACAGCATGCTTTAAGATGGGAGGACTCCAACTCCCAGCATTCCCCAGCCGCTATGCTTTAAGAGGGGTGGACTTCAACTCCCAGAATTTCCCAGCCGCTATGCT